GGACTGTCAGTGGAGTTCTAGTGCTATATCTTATTACATGGTTCTTACACCCGTAGATGAAGTCGAATTTAAAGGGATAGTTGACTCCAAAATGAAAATTACTCACTATCTACTCTGCTTCAAGCACTTTCAAACCTGTATGTGCTTTTTTTTTCTTCTGTTTAACACAAAAGAAGATGTTTTGAAGAAAGCTGAAAACCTGTAACTATTGACTTTTACACTTTGGGGTGTACATGGGGCCCTAAAATGTTATAAATTTCCAAAACAATTTTACGCCTTAAAAAGTCTTGAATTCACTAAAATGTTGTCTTGCAGGTCTTAAATAATTGTAAACAGGTCTTAATTTTCCTATGTTCATGGAAAGGTGGCCAATCTGGCCAACACGTATTCAATCACCAATGGATCTACATCTCCTAACAAAACTCAGTACAATAACTCTATTTACCAATATGGTTTAGTTATTGTGCTTTATAATATATATTGTCGCTTCACAGCAAGAAGGTCGCTGGTTCAAGCCTTGGCTGGGTCAGCTGGAGTTTGCATGTGGGTTTGCACGTGGGTTTCCTCCGGGTGCTCTGGTTTCCCCCACAGTCCAAAGACATGCGGTACAGGTGAATTGGGTAGGCTAAATTGTCCGTAGTGTATGAGTGTGTGTGTGTGCATGTTATCCAGAGATGGGTTGCGGCTGGAAGGGCATCCGCTGCGTAAAAACTTGCTGGATAAGTTGGCGGTTCATTCCGCTGTGGCGACCCCGGATTAAAAAAGTGACCAAGCCGAAAAGAAAATGAATGAATGAATCCTGCATAAGTCTGTAATTTCATTCACAATGATCTTAAAAAGTTGTTTAAAAGTCTTAAATTTGTCTTCGTGAATCCTGCAGAAACTTTTTATAGTCAGAAAAACACATACTATTGAAGTCAATGGTTACAGGGTTTCAGCATTCTTCAAAATATCTTCTTTTGTGGTCAACTGAACAAATAAATCTCAAATGTGTCTGGAAATGACAGAATTTTCATTTTTGAGTGTCCCTGTAAGCCCTTTACAAGCACTTTTCCAACTTTTCTAGCACTTTAGAAGTGTGGCGAATTGCATATCTGCATGCACATACATACTTCATCATAATATATTAGATGTTATCCGTTATAGTGTTCAAAAGAAATCATGTGATGTTGTGTTTTGTGAATGCCTAATAGCTGGTGTTCTGCTAAACGTTCTGCTGTTTTTGGAGTATTTAATTACACCCTTTGATCAAGTCAAATTATTATTACAAAAGGGAAAGTTGACCCCAAAATGAAACTTTACTCACTATTTACTTTCACTTCAGCAGTTTCAAACCTGTATGTGTTTTTTTCCATCTGTTTAACACAAAAGAAGATGTATTGAAGATAGCCAAAAACCTGTAACCAATCACTTTCATAGTCGGAAAAACAAATACTATTGAAGTCAACAGTTACAGGTTTTCAACATTCTTCAAACTATCTTCTTTTGAACAAAAAAATCTCATAACAGGTTTGGAAATAGCAACAAGTAAACGATGAAAGAATTTTCATTTTTTGGGTGAACCGTGTGACCATGTGTTCATTATGCCTTAAACCCTACAGTCATCTGGTGAGATACTCTGTTAAAAGTTAATAGGACAGTATTTTGTCTTAGGGCGTATTCACACTATGTACAGTTGACTTGAACCGGGCCGAAGCACACTTGTCCCCCTCCCGTCTCCCCTGAAAGCCCGCACTTACATTACATTTGGGCCTGGGCACGCTTACGTCATCACTGTTCAGTAAACAATTTTACTCAGCACAGAGGAGATTTTTTCAGTTGTCGTTTTAGTTATTTAGGATGCAGTGACATGCAGTCAAATATTTTGCCGAACAGATCCTCCACTTTTGACGCTCATAAACAAAAAATAAACTCCTCGTGCTGCAGGTATTAGGAGATTTGCTGAAGGTGCAGCTGTCGTGCAGTGAGGGGTTTGCGTATTTAATATTCTATGACAGTTTGCCTTCATTGAACAGTAAGAATGATTAATAAATCCATATAAAACAGTCTCTAAAAGTCACTTCTCGTCTTCAGTTTCGGGCTCAGGCGCACTTTGCACTCACACTACAAGCATACCGCGGCAAAACCCAAGTGAACCGCGCTCTGACACACCTCCTCCAACCGGGCCAGGGCCGGCCAAGTGAACCCTGTCCGAGCCGATTCAGAGCACTCACACTTCTCCAATAATTCGAGAAATGTGTGTGTGTGTGTGTGTGTGCGCACTTGGGGAGCAGGAAAGCTGTGACTTCTTTTAATAGTGTCGTCCTCATGCTATGTGCCGAGTGTGGTGCTTTCGCTACGTACAACACGTCACCTATAAAATCATTTTTACACCAAGAAGGTCACTGTGGTTAGAGCCTGGCTGGTCCAGTTGGCATTTCTGTGTGGAGTTTGCATGTTCTCTCCATGTTTATAACTCCATGCATGTTCTCTGGGTGCTCCCATTTCCCCCACAGTCCAAAGACATGCGCTATAGGTGAAAAGGGTTAACAAAATTGGCCGTAATGTATAAGTGTGTGTGTGTGTGTGTGTGTGTGTGTGTGTGTGTGTGTGAGAATATAAGTGTATGGGTGTTTCCCAGTACTGGGTTGCAGCTGGAAGGGCATCAGCTGCATCAAACATATGCTGGAATAGTTGGTGGTTCATTCCGCTGTGACGGCCCCTGATAAATAAGGGACTAAGTTGAAGAGAAATGAATGAATGGCTTATGCCGGTATTTTACCATTAGAAAATAAACCTTTCACTTTAGTCAAAAACCGAGTGTTGCTCTCTGATTAAACATTGATGAAATACTACACATAGATGAGGGAATATCCAAATATTCACAGTGTTTGTGATGAAGATGAGGTTGTTTCTTCATGCAAAATAGATTTGAGGATTGAAATTAAATGTAGCTGCTTTATATTAGAGGTTAAGTGGAGGCGGCTCATTTATGACCCTTAGGACAAACAGTGCACAGAATCCTAAAACAACAGGAGGGTTAAAAACACTAGTTAAGATAAAAGATTAATGAGATAAATCATTTAAAGGGCACATATTTTACCCCTTTTTCATGATTTAAGATAAGTCCTTTGTGTCTGTTGTGAAGTTAATTCAAGCCTTTCTGCAACGAGTACCACACAATGTTGTTACAAAGTTCACACACACACACACACACACACACACACACACACACACAGGGGCAGATTGGCCATCTGGCAATTCTGGCAAATGCCAGAAGGGCTGGACCATGTTTCAAATGTGGGTCGGTCAGTTTTTTTAATAATTTTTTTTTTATGTATTGTTTTTACATGCAGGCAGCATTTATCTCTTGCAAGATGTGAATACTATGATAATGAAGATGATAATGATAATAATAATAATAATACATCAAAAGTCGGACACTTCCCGAATTTCACTGTTTTGCCACCTGGAAACAGCACCAGTGGCAGAGATCGACATTTTTTTTAAATTTTTTTTATCACAGATCAATGACCTCAAGAAAAAAATACCATGATAATTTATAGTAAATATTATAGTGTTTTGAATTGTTTTTTCAGTATTGGGTTATGCTTATTGTTGTGATGCCATAGTAACTATAGAATTTAAATAGGCTTTTTATGACATTTTTATAAACAATACTTTTTTTTCAACACTATATATTACTATAAATTACTATGCTATTTTTTTAGTGTGAGAGTGGATGCAACTGAAATATCACTGTTTTTACAAACAGATGGTCACAATCACAGAAGATGAACAGCTCATTTAAAATATATTTAAAATATAAATCTGTATAATCAACAATGAGCCTAGATGTTAAAAGAATGTCAAAATAAACAGCTTATACAGCAAAAAAAAATTATTTGGCTATAATATAAATTAAGTAGCTATAGCGAGATGCTTTTGACTGACAGGTCATGACAAATGTTATGTTTATTTGTTAGCTAGGAATGTCCCTAGAATGTGGCATTTTATTGAACAAGTGGCCCATTTCTATAGTAATTTCAGACTTTCTGTAAAGGGCAAGATTCACAGATTGTTTTTTATTTCATTTTTACTGTATGTATAAATTTGTTATTAACGGGTTGTTTTTGTTCCAGTCACATACATTAAATGTTTAAATATCTATTGCATATGATATGGTACTGCCTATATTATTTCACCATCTGTACACCAATATAAGAAGTGGATGTGTGTGCCCATGGGTGGGGCTATACAGTGCCAGGGCTAAATTTTTGTCCCAGTCTGCCCCTGCACACACACACACACACACACACACACACATACACACACACACACACACACACACACACACACACACACACACACACACACACACACACACACACACACACACAGCGTGTGTGCTTACCTTTGCACTGTTTTTGCATGGAAAATGTGACAGGATATGCACTGCTGTATGGACATCCGTTAAGTTAGTGTACAAAATAAACCTGATTTAACCTCCACATACCGGGATTGAATCGTCTTCTTTTATAATTGTACTGACAAGCGACGGTGGTGCTAAAGTAAAGACAGTAAAATTGCTGTAATTCATTACAAACATGCACTGTTTTAAAAACATTTTAAACTTGTACACGTCATTCTTGATCACATTTGATGATGATTGATGATCACAGAGAGCTAAACCCATCTTTTAATCCCAGTTGCTTTGCGCATGTCCTGTCTTGTTGATATTATTGTACGCGTTACTACGGAGACATGTTAAGATGCAGCTGTGAGAAATGGGGGGGATTTGGATCTTACTTCAACATCAGGCAATTTAAAAAAAAGAGACATGTTGTGTTTATATCAGCCCAGTATGACTGTGGACACACTATACCTGCACACAGTGCTGTCCAAACAGCTTACAAATGATGATTTTGATCATAGGTGTCCTTTAAGATAAAATGTCAGCATTTTCTATGATTTTCTGCACCCATGAGAGCCATGTATTACTACACAGAGTCTGCACTCACCCTATTGAGCGGATCTTGTAGCGCATTCTGTCAATGTGTAACACCTTCACCTCCTGAAAAACAGGAAAAGGGTGTGCTTGTTGGAGAACATGGAAAGAGGATGTGAGCTCAATGTGCGTACTGTGTGTATGATACCCGTGGGATGAAGAAGATATCGGCGCTGAATTTGAAGAGCCAGTCATCCAGAAAGTGGTAAAGAAGTGACTCCATATCATCTCCTGAAACAAACACAAGATAAAGTTACCATCTGGTCTAACCAGTCCTGTTCCCACACAGAGCATCATGAAGACAATGATTCACTTTTTCTGCTTTTCTAGATCAACGAAACAGGCTTTTGACTCCTAAAAGAGCCGTTGTGTAAGACAGAATTCACAAGCGATGAATATTGGTTACTAACACTTTATATTTTGCTGTATTTAAAAGAAATAAGCTTCATAGTTTTCTGTTTTATTTATTTATTGGTCTTTTTTATTATGTTAATGGGATAGTATGCGATATGATGGCTCTGTGGTCTTCACAGCAAGAAATTCACTAGTTCGAGACCCGGCTGGGCCAGTTGGCATTTCTGTGTTGGCGTGGGTTTCCTCCGGTCCATAGTCCAAAGACATGCGCTTTGAAGAATTGAATAAACTAAATTGGCCGTAGTGTATGTGTGTGAATGTGAGTTTATTGGTGTTTTCAAGTACTGGGTTGTGGCTGGAAGGGCATCCGCATGTGTAAAACATATGCTAAAATAGCTGGCGGTTCATTCTGCTGTGGCGACCCCTGATAAACAAGGGACTAATGGGATAGTTCACTCAAAATTGAATATTTCTTCATCGTTTACTCCAAACTTTTAAGAGTTTTTTATTCAATTGAACACAAAAGAAGATGATTTGAAGAATGTGAGGTCTGACTTCCATAATAGGAACAAAGAATACAATCATTCTTCAGTATTTCTTTCTTTGTGTTCAACAGAAGTAAGAAACTCAAGTGGAGGATGAGTAAATAATTGAATATTCATTTTTGGAGTGTACTGTCTCTTTAAACTTTTGTCGCTTTGTAGTTTAAGCAGCACACTTTCAGGGCTGCAAACTGAAATTGAGATATCTTAAAGAGACAGTACACCCCAAAATGAAAATTCAACTATTTGCTCGATCCAAAACCTGAAGATATTTTGAAAGAAAACTGCAAACCTGTATTCATCGACTTTCATAGTAGGAAAAACAAACATTATGAAAGTCAGTGGTTACAGCTTTTCAGCTGTATTCGAAATATCTTCAGATTTTACATAAGTAAATTGTTTAATTTTCTTTTTTTTTGGGGGGGGGGGGGGGGGGGGGGGCACTGTCTTTTTAAGATAACTTAATTTCAGTTTAAAGTGGTTGAGGGAGCCCTGAAAGTGTGTCAGCTTAAACTATAACCCATTTAAGGCCACCGGCAACTATAGTTGCCAAAGTTCATAGTTGCCAATTTCCTTTTATAAGTAATTTTCTACATGTTATCCATGTTTGATTTTTCATTAACATGCTATAAAACAACCAAATAAAATATTTCAAGAAATAAAAAAGGCAATAAATTTCTTTCCTGTCATGTCCGGATTTCATCTTCCTACCCCTAAGTTTTAGAGCAGTATTGGTAACACTTTACAATAAGGTTCATTAGTTAATGCATTTACTAACATGAACTAATCATGAACAACACTTGTACAGCATTTATTAATCATAATTGAACATTTACTAATGCATTATTAACATCCAAGTGCTTGTTAACATTAGTTAATGCACCATGAGTTAACATGACCTAACAATGAACGACTGTATTTTCATCAACTAACGTTAACTAACATGAACAAATACAGTAATAGATGTGTTGTTCATTGTTTGTTTATGTTAGTAAATGCATTAATTAACATTAACTAATGAACCTTATTGTAAAGTGTGACCGCAGTATTTTATTACAGCCTTAGACAAAGTTGAATTTAAAAGGATAGTTCACCCCAAAAGAAAAATTTACCCACTATTTAATCTCCTTTAAATAGTTTCACGCCTTAATGAGTTTCTTTATTCTGAAATAAAGTAGCATATTAAACTTTGTAGTTCAAGCTGACACACTTTCAGGGCTACCGCAATAACTTTAAACTTAAATTAAGTTTTCTTAAATCGACAGTACACCCCAAAAATGAAGATTCTGTTATTTATTCATCCAAAACCTGAAGATATTTTGAAAGAAAACTGCAAACCTGTAACCATTGACTTTCATAGTAGAAAAATAAACATTAGGAAAGTCAGTGGTTACAGGTTTTCAGCTTTCTTCAAAAAAAATCTTCAGGTTTTAGATGAGTAAATTGTTTAATTTTAATTTTTGGTGTGTACTGTCTCTTTAAGATGACTCAATTTCAGTTTAAAGTTATTGCGGCAGCCCTGGAAGTGCATCTGCTTTAACAATGAAGTGACAAAAGTTTTATATGCGACTTGTTTTTCTTGAATGATAAAATAGTTATTTCAGTCTTGCTGGGAAAAGAACAAACAGAATATTTAAGCAATTTAATTGTGCTTCTTGTGACTCATTTAAAAACACATTACGCCTATTTCTCAGTCACACAATGCCTTGGAATATTTAATTTTGGTTATTTCCACACTTTCAACAGCAGCTGAAAATAAACATGATTTAAATAGCTGCAATGTATAAACATGGTGTTTTTGTTCTTTTCCTCTGCACTGTTAACTAAAGGCAAAGTTACCCAAAACCAAAAAATCTGTCATCATTTACTCACCCTTAATTAAAAATCCCTTTGTTAGTTGTTATGTTGATACATATAATATACATTCACTTGACCGTTTCTTCAGTTGGCATTTAAATCATCACTGTTACCGTTGGAAATACAGTGCAGAGCGTATATATATATATATATATATATATATATATATATATATATATATATATATATATATATATATATATAGTTAATAGGAACTCTTATATATATTAATATACACTATCAGGTTAATTTAATAGATGACACTTGTTGCTTTTATATCTCTAACATATATTCAACAAATTTTGATAACAAAATCAAAAAACTGATAAAGATTTGTATTGTGTGAACTGTCCTTTAAATGCACACAGTACTTAAAAGAAAAAACAAATATTATTTTGATGTGCATGGACATACTGAATTAAAGTAAAGTATCTGTTTTAAACAACTTTTGGGGGGAAATAAAATGTAAAAAAAAACTAAACAAACATAGCTCATAAACCAAATTAGTCTTCCTTTTTCATTCAGCATAATATATATAAAAAAAATTAAAAATAAAAATAAAAGCGTCTGCTAAATGACTAAATGTAAATGTATATATCCTTGAAACATGGTTAATCCGACCTGCATTTACATAAAAGAATATGTAATCATGCTAAATGTTGTATTTTAAACGTAATGTAATGTGTGTATTTATATAGGACATGAACTGTGTATTGCCATACAACCGAAGCACTGCACAATCATGATGGATAAGAGCTGATTAAGGGAATTTGGTCAGGACATTGGGGTTACCCCTACTCTTTATGAGAAGTTCCATTGGATTTTTAATGACAACAGAGAATCAGGACCTCGGTTTAACATCTCATCCGAAAGACAGCGCTCACTGACAGGACGTATTGTGTCCACCTCACTATACTGGGGCGTTAGGACTCACACAGACCGCAGGTTGAGCGCCCCTGCTGGCCTCACTAACACCACTTCCAGGGCAACCTAGTTTTCTCATGTGATCTCCCATCCAGGTACTGACCAGGCTCAGCCCTGCTTAGCTTCAGTAAGTAACTGGTCACGGGCTGCAGGGTGACATGGCTGTGGCCATGATGAAAATTAGTCAAAACCTACACTATGAACAATTATTACTTGACTTTACTTAAAATAAGTGAGTAAACATTTTGTTTTTTAACTGATTAATTGACTTTACTTTTAAAAAGTCCTAAAATTAGCAAGTAAATGAACTATGTGAATAATTACAAAGATTTAGTTAAATCAACCTAACAGTTCCAAGCTATAACGTGCTTACTCGCTTTGTTAAGTAAAGTCAACTTGTTGCTTTTAGGCAATGGGTTTACTTTCTTTTTTCCAGAGTTATCTGTTCTGAGGGTGAAAAAAATAAATCTAGATATTAAAAAAACAAGCAAAGTTGTCCATATTTAAGTTTTCAGCAACGCATATTACTAAGCCAAATGTCATTTATATATATATATATATATATATATATCATTAGGTTGGTGGTTCATTCTGCTGTGGCAAGACCTAAGGGACTAATAAAGGGACATAAGCTGAAAAGAAAATGAATATATCATTAGTTTTACTCAATTTGTTTAAGTTAATTATTTTTACAGTCTATTAGTTTAAAGGGCAGATTCAAAGTATGAAGATTAGACATAAATGTCAATGAATTAAATTTCTATGCAAATATTTATATATAGTCATTTAATATAACATCAAAATATTCTTGCTCTATATATGCCTAAAAATATGTTTTTAATGTGTGAACTATTGCTACACTCTGAATGACATTAAAAAAGTCAATATTGCTACAAATAAATAAATTAATTAATTATTTATTTAATTAATAAATAACATTCTGATTGTAAACATTCTAAGAAAATGTTTTTTTATACTATGTTAAAAAAAAACTTTAAAAAAAAAGCACAGTTCCAAAAATAAATAAATAAATAAATAACATTAAAATGTACAAGGAAACCAAAAACAGAATGTAAAGCTGTATTACACTGTCATATCAATCCTTAAAAACCTCCATTTCATCTTTGACACATATTGTTGTAAGTGCTTTCTACAAAAGCTAACGTAATATATCATGAACTTCGTTTGTGATTTTGATAATGCATTGCACACGACAATTTAAACCTACTTTTATTAAATAGTTCTAATCCCATGACACATAATTACAAGTTTGTCCCCCTCCTTTTATGGGAAAAAAGCAGGTCAAACTTATTTGCATGACTTAAGGTGGGTGAGTAAATGAGGTTTTATTTCTTTAACTCTATTGTTTATACAGTGTTAAGACATGTTGTAATGTCTGCTCTACAAAGACGGTTTAATTTGTGCAAACTGCTGTGGTTTTGTCTAGAAAAATCCCACAAGTCTTTATGGTTGGATTAAAAAAAAACATTGTTTGTCAAGAAATGGTGACACTTTATATTAGTTTTTTGCCTATGTGCTTCCTTGAAATGAATCACTTGTTACTATGTGCTTATTGTGTAAATACATGTGTTATGGGTTTGTGATTGGTTCCTTCCATTTTCTGGCGTTGTATGTGAATCATTATAGTGCCGCAGGTGCGGCTAATCTTACAGCTTATTTAAGGAGCTGCCCAGATGTGTTTGCAAGACTGCTTTGGAGGATCGTTTTTTTCCTTTGACTTCCTTTGGCTTACCCACTGCCTATATTACTTTTGTTTATTTTGAACTTTGCTCCTATATAATTTGTTGTTGTTTTGACAGTTACATGTTATGTTAGACATTTCATTTGGTTACTTTGATACCCCTTTGCACTTTATTTTATTAGTTTGGTTTTGATCGCTTTAAATAAATATCTTTTTGCATTTTTTTCATTCAACTTGGTTTGGTTCCCTTCATTTTGTTGCGTGCTTGAGCCGGCACAAAACAACATGTATTTGCATCTGTATGTAATTACACTGTTGACCATCCCTTACACCATAACCCACCCTTAAACCTTTCCATATCCCACTTCAACTGGACCAGAAGTGTTCTGCAATACATTATGAACACAGTAAGTACATTACACTCACAGGCCACTTTATTAGGTACACCTGTCCAACTTCTCGTTAACGCGAATTTCTAATCAGCCAATCACATGGCAGCATCTCAGTGCCTTTAGGCATGTAGACATGGTCAAGACGATCTGCTGCAGTTTAAACCGAGCATCAGAATGGAGAAGAAAGGGGATTTAAGTGACTTTGAACGTAGCATGGTGGTTGCTGGTGCCAGACAAGCTGGTCTGAGTATTTCAGAAACTGCTGATCAACTGGGACTTTCACGCATATCTAATATGACATCATTATGACAAGCCATGTCATAAAGCGCAAATAAACATGAAAATGAGTTCACTTTACTCAATTGGCCTCCACAGTCACCAGAACTCAATCCAATAGAGCTCCTTTGGGATGTGGTGGAACGGGAGATTCGCTTCATGGATGTGCAGCCGACAAATCTGCAGCAACTGCGTGATGCTATCATGTAAATATAGGGAAAAATCTCTGAGGAATATTTCCAGTACCTTGTTGAATCTATGCCATGAAGCATTAAAGCAGTTCTGAAGGCAAAAGGGAGTCCAACGATTGCTCAACGATTCTGTAAGTTACCCTAGGACAAAAATGTGATACAAACACCACAAGGCTGATTAAAGAAAAGAGAGGAAGGGAGTTTTCTGTGTTATTTCCTATTAACCATTTAAGGCTCTAATTGGCTTTAGGAACATGCTGATAAGGCTCGTCTCTCTGTGCATGAACAATATGACATGTATAAGGAGGGTTTATTTATGTAGTGCTGTTTTGAATCCCTTCAGCTAATAAATCATCCATTTCTGTGTCTGGAAGGTTATCCTTTGTGTTACACAAACATTCTGAAGCATAATTTATTTTTGAAAATGCACTTTAAAATGTCCATTAATCATTAATAATGAACTCCAGCACTACTGACCAAAATAAATATAACATTTGAGATTTTTTTTGTTAAGGGTTTTGAAAGAAGTATCCTCACTTTATTTTAAGATACAATTCTCGCTGTTAATAAGCTTAGGCTTTTAGCTCAATAGACTTCTAAGATGATGCTAATTAATAGTTATTTAGGTAGTAGTCAGTTTTAGAGATGCAAAATAAGATCATGCAGAATATGTACTTTAAAAGTACTAATAAACAAACTATATCTCAATAATAGGCAGGTTATAAACCACCAACAAAATACAACTGTCAGGGTTCTGAAGTGGATTTTATACTCTTTAAAGTGTGAAGTTAATATATATATTCAAATTGTATGTATATAATCTGCTTGTAGACTTGCAAACCATTAGAAGAATTACCATATCACAAGAACTGGATAAGTTATATAGTTACCAGGTTTGGGTCAGGGGTTAACCTAGGTGGAAATTGAGGTCAGGGGTTAACCTAGGTGGAATTTGTGTGACATGTAGAAATAAGGGAAAAACAGATGATAGAGGTGGAATTTGGGGTCAAGGGTTAAACTAGGAGGGATCTTGTGTAATATATGGAGAACAAAAGAAAACTAGGGGTGTAAAAGGGTATTTAAGTAAAGCCAGCTCATTAGTGAGACAGGATTTTTCAGACAGAGATGCTACTGGGGGTCTCCTGAAAGTTCTCCTTTGTTGTCGACAATAAAGTATATTCTTCTGATATTCATAACCTCCAGACTGAGTTTGATTTAGTAAGAGAAAAACCAAGAAAACCACTACAGTTCCCACTCCGTCATGGACACCAGATTTAAGCACTTTCAATGACTTTTTAAACAAAAATAAAATATTGCGAAGAGAAAATTAAGTTGAGAAAAAAAAATAAAATTTTCAAGAATTGCAATTAAAAATCAAGTAATGCACAAAAAAAACTTAAATATTTGCAATTTTTAAGAAAAAACTATATATGTTAGCAAAACATTTTTATAGTATTGCCTCATTTTGATTTGCATTTTAGGCAACAGTGATTTTGCGATGCTGTTTTTACTTTACACTTCACGTTTCTGCGCGTTTCACTTTGTGGCCCACTTTGAAATCAGGATCACAAAGTGAAAGACGCAGAAACGTAAAGTGCAACGTGAAAACAGCATCGCAAACTCACTGTTGCCTAAAATGCTCATTAAAATGAGCACTGCAATCTATGGCTTTTTTATTGCAAATATTTTAGTTTTTTTTTTTTGTACCGTATGATTTTTATTTGCAGGTTTTTTTTTTGTTTTTTTGTAAATTTTATCTTTATTTCTCAAAAATGTATTTTCGCTTTGCTATTTTTGGAGATTTGCAGTTATTTATTAATTTATTTTTTGCCCAATACTTTATTTTTTGTAAGTTTTGTATTTTGCAAGTACTGTATATATGGCCCTAGATTAACTCCATAGTAATTAGGCAGGTCATTATATGATGATGGTTTCTTCTGTAGACAATGAAAAAAAATTGCCTAAGGGCTAATAATTTTGACCTTAAAATGGTGTTTAAAAATTTAAAATGAGCTTTTATTCTAGCCAAAATAAAACAAATAAGCCTTTCTCAAGAAGACGAAATACTATCAGACATAATGTGAAATATTCTTTGCTCTGTTAACATCATTTTGGGAAATACTTGAAAAAGAAAAAGCCTTTCAGTGAATAAATGCAGATGGGTGAGAGTAAATGATGACAAACTTTCCATTACAGGGACTTTATTTAAACACACTTTAAGTTTGTAACGGCAGAGATAAAAAAAGATATGTTTGTTTTTCCCACCTTCTGACTCCACTTCTACAGTATCGATGGGCTCCACCGTTTCTGTATCCGTCATGTAGCCAAACATGCCCATGGCACACTGCTCAAAGGCCTCCTCTAGAGAGTTACCCCATGAATGAATCCTGTGATGAATAAAGAGATGAAATGTCCACAGGGTTGTAGTGTGACTCCGCATATATTTACACACATTTGCAAGCTTTAAATCTTCCATTAATGGTCCATTTAGTGATATGAGCAGTGCACAAGTGACTCACTTTTCCTTTAGCCTCAGTTTTCACTCGAGTGTTTGTCTTAGCCAAGATTCATTTCTTACTATTTCCGTTATATTTACTAAAAATAACAGAACACCTTTCACAGGTAAATACTTACTGGACGTCTGCAGTGTGGTCGAGATCTGAAACAGAAGATCAAATATTGCTCAGATGATGATTTACAGTCAAACCCTAAAAATCTACACAAACACATAATATATATATAATATTATATATATATATATATAGTATTAAAATAAATGAATAAACATTGAGCTTAAGAATTTTGGTCTTTATCTGTGTATCAGTCTGTGATATGCTGCATTATTAAATGATGAACAACCTTACCTAACACTGGGTTTAATATACGTTTATACAAAAGAATAACCGCTTGTCGAGACCATTTCAATGTGCTCATGACCGTTTCCTGCTAGTTATCAAACTATTTCACATCAGTAACAAGAGGAAATTCAATCATAACTTAATGTTAAAACAGCTATCATAACGTTATTTATCAATATGTGGCTCTTTTTGGATTCTCGGAAGCTCTAGAAATTAAAAATGTAAAACAGGAAATACGTTGGGACTATTGTTTTTGTTTACATTCCTCAAAATGGTCTATAATTGTATCACCAAATTACGTAATAATGACTTCAAATGTGAAGCTTCGATGCCGCCTTTCAGATCTTTGGTTTCGAATCAGTGATTCAAATCTTGACTCACTTCAGCAAACGAGGGTTTATTACGTCATACTTTTTTTTAGCAAAATGACGCTTTTACTTAAAGAGTTTATTACCAAGTTATGTGTATTTATTTAAACAACAGAGACTTTTCTTCTTAAGAAAACTCAAGAAAACAAGAGTACCGACCCAGCTCTTACTAAATTTCTACAGGAGCACGATAGAGAGCATCCTCTGTCACTGCATCACAGTGTGGTACACAAGCTGCACTGCAGAAAACCAGAGAGCTCTAACCCTGACTGTTAAGACTGCACAGAGGATCATAGGAATTAAACTCCCAAACCTCGATACAGTCTACCCTAGCCGCCTACAGAGGAGAGCTAGCAACATCAAGGACCCTACTCATCCAGGACACAAACTTTTTGCACTACTCCCATCAGGGGAAAGATATAAGGCAATTAAGACCCGCACAAACAGGCTAAGGAGCAGCTTCTTCCCCAGACCTGTAGCCTGTGCCACCCCTCCTCTTCGTACACATTAACAGTCACCCCCACCCCCCCACTCACTCACTATCTTCCTGATGTTCTGCTGCTAATGCACAAAGACACTTTATGGATATTCATGTTTGCATTCATTTGCCACAATGTAAATACTGTGACTGATTACATTTAGTATTTTTTATTTTACATCTTATATTTTTAGTATTATGTCTATTGTTTGTTTTATGTGACTTAATACATTTAGTATATTTTATCTTGCATCTTATATTTTAGTATTATGTCTATTGTTTGTTTTCTCTCTTTTTATATTGCTGCTGGTCTCTGTGAGTTACCAAACAAATTTCGTTGTATAACTACAATGACAATAACAGTTCTTTACTTTACTCTTTACTTTAAAACATTTCTTTACTTTAATGAGAGGAAAACAATTACAATTATTATTTTGATATATCTTATTTGTGTACTTTCTGCAATATAAATAAAGCAAATTTTATTTCCCTTATTCTATAACTGCACTCATGTTAAACTTCTTTGTAACAACATTATTTTTATTTATTATCCTTATTTAAATATGATTTAAATGTGTCTATAAAGTATATATTTCTGTATTTCTCTGGTAATGATCATGCTTTCCATCTTATAGTTAATTTCTTTGTTGTGAAAAGATATAAGGCAATGAAGACCCGCACAAACAGGCTAAGGAGCAGCTTCTTCCCCAGAGCTGTAGCCTGTGCCACCCCTCCTCTTCGTACACATTAACAGTCACCCCCCCCCCCTCACTCACTCACTATCTATCTTCCTGATGTTCTGCTGCTAATGCACAAACACACTTTATGGATATTCATGTTTGCACTCATTTGCCACAATGTAAATACTGTGACTGATTACATTTAGTATTTTTTATTTTACATCTTATATTTTTAGTATTATGTCTATTGTTTGTTTTCTCTCTTTTTATATTGCTGCTGGTCTCTGTGAGTTACCAAACAAATTTCGTTGTATAACTACATTGACAATAACAGTTCTTTACTTTACTCTTTACTTTAAAACATTTCTTTACTTTAATGAGAGGAAAACAATTACACCTAAAATTTTCTAGGATGGAGTGTCTTTTTGGATAAAAAAATGTCAGACGATTGTTACATTATTCTGTATAAACATCCCCAAGATGTACATTTTTCTGGAACAATTGTTCTGAAAGTATTCAATGGATGAGAGCATGGTTATTACCTGAAATGTTTAGCATATCCAACAAAATATGAGAGATACATTTTAAGATTTTGCATAATGTATATCCTGCAATTTCCTAAATTGCTGATTATTTTGATATATCTAATGTGTGTACTTTCTGCAATATAAATAAAGCAACTTTTATTTCCCTTATTCTATAACTGCACTCATGTTAAACTTCTTTGTAACAACATTATTTTTATTTATTATCCTTATTTAAATATGATTTAAATGTGTCTATAAAGTATATATTTCTGTATTTCTCTGGTAATGATCATGCTTTTCATCTTATAGTTAATTTCTTTGTTACGCTGTACATTTTTATACACAAAAATAAGTTCCTAAAGGCAATACCTAGATACTTTTCTTTGCTGAAAATTCGTTCAGTATTGAATCTCTTAAGCTTATCAATAATAATAAGAATAAGTTTCTTAAAGCGTATGATCATCTTTTTTCTTAATGATTGAGGTTTTGTAAAGTGTTTTTTTTTTCTTCTCTTTACTATTTTTTGTTATTGGATTTTCTCCTCAATGCAGTGATGTTATTTTTCTTGTATTCAATAATAAAAGAGTCTAATTTACTAATTAAAAATGAGAATATAACTCCTAGTAGACCTAATTTGCTAAACCTAGAATAAAAGAAGCACTTTAGCACCATATTTAGCACACACATTATACAGATGCATTATATTTAATGCTTTACAAATAAACAAATAACACTGGACATTTTTTCGTACACAATTTATCAGTATTAATCTTGGGGTAATGTGTAAAGATATTTAAAGATTTACAACCTCAACAAAAAAATAATAATAATAGAATGATACGTGCTGACGTAATCCTGCACGTAACGTCACGCCACGTGATTTATTTTCATAAACATTCACGCTGCAATAATTCGTGCATTCGCAGTTAATACTGTTTTTCTGTAATGTTCCTGTCAAGCAATTGTCTTAAATTAATACCTATATACGACGACTATTACACTTTTTAGCACGTTTCCATTTAGTTACGTAGGTTTGTTCGTTTCTGGGTTTACATGATGATACATGCGGAACAGAAGTTGATTCCACTTACACTCATATTTCTTGGTGATTGGAGGATATTTAGCTTTAAGTGCTTTTTGCTCTTCAGTGAGATCAAGTTCTCGGTCATTCATTGTTCTGCTCTGACTAATTTTATGACTCTGCGAGTGTTATTTCCGTGAAAACATGCTTTTCGTACAGTGTGAAGGCTGAAACTGTGTATTTTGGTCATTTAAGAGTGCGACTTTCAGAATAAAAGTCCAGTATGTGATGCAGACAGGCTTCTTTTTTATATTTATATATATATATATATATATTTATTAGCAATGCTTGAACGGTAACAGAAAGGCATTAATACTTTTTTAGAATTACACAAAAGACTGTGTAACAATGGAATTGCATACATTCACAATATTTCCATCTTTGTTAATAATACAACCTATATAAATAAATAAAATAACAAAAATTAACAAAAAAATAAAGGTTGTAATGATATAAATGCTATAAATGCAGTAGCACGTCATCATGATGCAACTGTTCTAACTTCTTTTAATCAAACTGAGCTAAAAATGATTATATTTGGGTATTTTAACTCGCACCACACAAAAGAAAATAATGTTTTGTTTTGTTTTTTTATAAATTATTTATTAAGCAAATTTTATGTTCACAAAAGTAAATTCTCAAATTGTAAACCGGTCTTTGTGGTCTTCTTAAAAGATACAGATAATTATATAAAGTTGACTTCAGGAGAAGAAAGCTAAGAAAGCTTAAATCTGTTAACATCTGCTCTGCTATTTAGGTCTTTGTATAAGTAATCTTAAATAAACCCTTGTAAATGCAAAACACTTTAATGCTTTTCTGTTTTTTTCTCTCTCTTGCTTTCTTGAGGTTATTGTTATTATTTCTATTGTTCCTTATTGTTCTGTTATTTTTGTCAATGTCACTCATTGATATTGTATTTTATGTATTCAGCAATAATACAAACAAATCAATAAATAAAAATAATCCAACTGAACGTCTATATCAAGAACAAAAATTAGGAGACAACCTGGAATTTCCCAGTTTATCTAGATCAGAGATGTCCAAAGTAGGGCCTGCGGATTAATGTTGGCCCATGGTAACCTTTAATTTGGCTTGCCATTCACTCTGAGAAGAGATTTAGAATGATGTGAAGGTTGTGGTGATAGCTGTACATGTACACTCACCGGCCACTTTATTAGGTACACCTTACTAGTACCACATTGGACCCGCTTTTGTCTTCAAAACTGCCTTAATTCTTCATGGCATAGATTCAACAAGATATTGGAAAGGTATTTTTCTTAGAGATTTTGGTCTGAATTGACATGATAGCATCACGCAGTTGCTGCTGATGTTTCGGCTGCACATCTATGATGTGAATCTCTCGTTCCACCACATCCCAAAGGTGCTCTATTGGATTGAGGAATGGTGACTGTGGAGGCCATTTGAGTAGTGAACTCATTGTCATGTTCAAGAAACCAGTCTGAGATGATTTGCGTCTTATGACATGGCGTGTTATCCTGCTGGAAGTGGCCATCAGACGTTTTTCCAAACAAATAAATAAATACAAATAATCTAACTGAGGGCGAGGCAGTGGCGCAGTAGGTAGTGCTGTCGCCTCACAGCAAGAAGGTCGCTGAGTCACTGGTTCGAATCTTGGCTCAGTTGGCGTTTCTTGTGTGGAGTTTGCATGTTCCCCCTGCCGTGGGTTTTTCCTAAAGATGGGTTGCGGCTGGAAGGGCATCCGCTGCGTAAGAACTTGCTGGATAAGTTGGTGGTTCATTCCGCTGTGGTGACCCCGGATTAATAAAAGGGACTAATCCGACAAGAAAATGATGATGATAATCTAACTGAGCTTTAATATTGTGCTGGATGCCTTTATTTAATACCCTAATTAAATAAAGAAACCAGAATCCTCTCTTGGCTATATTTCCAAGATAGAGTTTTGTTAGTACCATCTTGTGTAATGTTAAAATTATATTCATACCTCACCACACAAGGTATCTTGATATGTTCTGAACCTAATGTCCACTCCAGTGAAGAAAATAAATAAAATGCACTTTTGTTAATAAAATAAATCCAGTCAAAAAGAAGAAATAAACAATCACAACAACAAAACAAAATCCTTTACATCATCCTCCAATGACTATAAAGGGCCTAAGACTATAAGTATGAAGAAGTCAGTTAAGCGTGCTGCTCCAGCCTGTTATACAGTATACAAGCCTTGAATACAGATGTTTAAGGTTTCAAGCTATCAATGTTTGATATACCTGAGGATATCTAACGTTTGATATTCTTAAGGATGTCTGATACATAGAAGAAATCTCTTTGAGTAAATACAAAGCAAAGTAACAATCAGTGTTTGTTATACTTGAGGATATCTACCGAGGTAGCAATGAATGCTAACCCAGATTTGGCATAAAGCTGGCACAGGAGGCATTCATCCGGTATTGGCATACAACATGTGGGCCAAACATAGCCCAGGTTTGGCCAATAATATCTGGATGCAGCCTTTATGATGCAAGCTAAGATTGCATCACTCAACAATGTAATGTCAAACACAATGCACTCAAATGGAGCGAGTGACGTCACTGTGAAGGGTAGGGTTAGGGGTGGGGTTAGGTGAGCCCATTAAAAAGCATTGGATGCAGCCCAGATTGCACTAAATCCAGACCCTTATCGGTTTGGCAGACGTGGCACCGTCTTTAAAGCGGCACACAAGATTTGGGCCAGATGTAAAGTGTAGTATTTAGCCCAGATGTTAAAACTAAATATGGAGCCTGGTAAGTTTGGCCTGTGTTGGTCCACATTTAAAATACATTTAAATTATTTTTGAATAACAAAAAAAAATCTACCATTCAGGTTGCCTTAAATAAAATTTAAAAAAGCACAACCATAGTGTGTTTACTTCTCAATGCTTCATGGGTTTATTAATTTCATTGCAATTGTGACACATCAACCTATCTGGCCCAGTCCAGGCCGAGTTATGGGTTATTAGCTTGGCTGAGACTTGACCCAAATATGGTCCATGTTTGGCCCTTGTCTGGAAGTCAGACTTGGTCCAGTCATGTATCGTAATTCACTACGGCATGTGGGCCAAGCAAAACCTAATTGTGTGGGCCAGAGCTGGGCCAGAGAAATTTTTCTATGTCGGTTAAGTTTGATATACTTGAGGATATCTGTAATACATAGAAGAAATCCCTTTGAGTAAATACACAGCAAACTAACAATCGGTGTTTGATATACTTGAGGATATCTAAAGATATCTAAAGTCTCTTTTTGTTCTCTCTCTCTTGGGTGATCCGTTTGAATAAAAACATAGCAAAGTGTTACATCAACATTCGGGCAGTCTTCTAGAAGTCTCGTCCTCCAAGTTCATAGCTCATAGTTGGCAAAGAATAAGTTTTTCTAAAGATAACGCTCTCAGGCTTCTTCCCGTTTCCGGTTTTAATTGGTCAGAAGTGTCATCTGGGCCATTTCTTCCCACATGGAAAGAACCTCTATAAACGTATGTTTTAATTCAGATTTTGATAGAGGTTTTTGATATATGTGACATATATAAAATTGCCCGTTTTCCTATATTATATGTACATACAGTTGAAGTCAGAATCGTTAGCCCCCCTGAATTATTTGCCCCCCTGTTTATTTTTTCCCCCAATTTCGGTTAAAGGGAGAGAAGATTTTTTCGACACATCATCCCCTTGAAATTATAAGGTTCTATCTGCGTTCTGAATGATTTTAAGATACTGAGCTTTAAAGTTTTCACATTCCATAGCAAACAATATGTGTGTAAAACTTGTTTTTTAAATAAGAAGTATTAAAATGTAAACAATTCATATAAAGAATGTAGTGCAAATATTGCAAATAAGTTGTCATTTAATAGGAATATGTCAATAACTCGATTTTGACAAAAATGACAAATAGAACCTTATAATTCTAATTTCTAATCATAATAGTTTTAATAACTCATCTCTAATAACAGTTTTTTTTTTTTTTTTTTGCCAGGATGATCAAATCAGGGCCACAAATTGAAACATGCAAAAATGTTAAGTGCAAAATGAAACAGCATCGAAAACTCACTGTCTCAAAAGCAAATCAAAATGAGGCAATGCTATATATTGTATTTTTTATTATCATTGTTTTTTTTTGTTTTTTTTTTTTACACTTTTTGGTTTTATTTGCAGTTTTTTTGTGAATTTCATCTTTATTATTCAAAAAAAAAATTTCGCTTTGCAATTTTTTGAGATTTGCATTTATATTTTATTTATTTTTTTGCTCAATACAATTTTTTTTTTTTGTATGCAAAGCTTTCTTTTATTTTGCAAGTACAATTAAAGTCATAATTATTAGCCCCCCTTTGAATTGTCTTTTCTTTTTTAAATATTTCCCAAATGATGTTTAACAGGGCAAAGCATATTTCACATTACATCTGATAGTATTTATTTTTCTGAAGAAAGTCTTATTTGTTTTATTTCGGCTAGAATAAAAGCAGTTTTTATTTTTTTAAACACCATTTCTCCAAAATTATGAGCCCCTTTAGGCTATTTTATTTTTGATAATCTACAGAACAAACCATCGTTACAATAACTTGCCTAATTATCCACTAACCTGCCTAGTTAACCTAATTAACCTAGTTAAGCCTTTAAATGTCACTTTAAGCTGTATAGAAGTGTCTTGAAAAGTATCTAGTCAAATATTATTTACTGTCATCATGGCGAAGATAAAATAAATCAATTATTAGAGATGAGTTATTAAAACTATTATAATTTGAAAACAGAAATTTTGGGAAAAAATAAAAAGCTAATAATTCTGACTTTAACTGTACATATGGCCCTAGATTGACTCGCGCACACACGCACACCCAAGACCTGAGGAGGGCAGCAATGCGCCTTTATAAGTCTGGTCTACCTCAAATATCAGAAGAAGAAGATGATTGAATGGAAGAGGACAGTTGTAAACAGACCTGACGATTTTGCACAGGTTTTGATTTGCAAGTGAGTCCTTTGCTGTTAAATTTTCGAGTTGTGTATCAGTAGGTTTCTGACACTAAAGGTACAAAAAATATCGTGCTTTCTTTATGTCTCTTAGCAAAGTTGTAAATACTGAGTTAACAGAGAAGAACCAAGTTAACTTTTCTGGGCTTTTTAACAAACAGGTGCTTTTCTTTTAAAGTGAAATTGAAAATAAAAAACTTCCAAATGAAATTACTTGGCGAGAAATAAATATATCAAAGGGAACCTGTTTTCAGATATTATATCTTCAGAGCAGAATTAAATAAGACTTTTATTTTGTTACGTGCAATATTTTCATTGATATTTTCATTATGGTTGTTTAAATTAATTTGAACTCTCAGCAGTGAAACTTAAACCACACTGAACTAACTAAACTAAACTTCAACTCTGTAATCTGGACTTTTCTAGAATTATGTTAAACTGCTTTGTCACATTCTACATTGTAAAAAGCACTGTATAAATAAACATGAATTAATTAGAGAAAACGCTAGTTGTGTTCTGACTGTGAAGTGACTGTGCTGATAATATATATATATATATATATATATATATAAAATAACACATGATGGGATATATACTGATAAACCTTCTGGAGTTCATGCCATATGGTTATGTGAATATCTTCACTCAGACATGTGTATGTCAGCGCACAGCAGACATTACACGTGTGTGTTTTGGCTGTCATTATTTATGTACAGTTTTACATGTATTTTGTATTTGTTTACATACTTTCAAATGTAGACTTCATATACATAATGTTATAATTATTGTATTTTTATTTATTAAGTAATTTATTTATACAGTGATAGACCCCCTCCCCCCCACACACCTTTTTATTACGATTCAGGAAATATATGAAAAACAAATTGCTTATGCACCAACATCCAGCATGCGATAGACCTGAACAGTGCAGTGACTTACTTTATCCAGAGATGAATTTCAAGTTGTAAAGAAATCCGTGTTTTTGAAACTAATGAAGACAGCAGAAGTCAATCACTTATTTTAATTATTTAGCCGGACATGTTGACTGCTCCAAAATGTTTTAAATGTTTCTAAAAATAATACATATTATGTTCAATGGGAAAACGCTGTTGTTTTTTACCCAGACATTTAAAAAAAGATCATATTTTAGAGCAGTAATCACCATACAAGGATACCTTGATATTTTAATCATACTGTACAAACACCCTATAACTGTGTGTAATTCACCATCTTTATGACTAAAAGAGCTCTGTAAAGGAATAATCTGGTTATTCTGAGTTATCCATAATCAGGATATTCTGCTAATATGAACCTATGCTGCCTTACTAAAATGAATACATGTATGGAGGGACAAATAGGGTATATGCCGAGCTAGTGCTTTTCCCATACTGATAAACATCCAGTGACCTGTTATTGTGAACTTTTTTCCATTTTATACAGTTCCTTTTACAGCATCGATGTTGTAATGTAATTAAAACACATTCGGTTAAATAAACTTTGGCATTCATTTAGTTGCTCAAGCGTAAAACGAGACAAAAACCGTTTACTCACACGCACCTGTCAGAATCGGCAGGCTAGCGCAGAAGCTCCATTGAATATTATAGGGTAAAATGAATGCTTAGATTACAAAGATATGGCGGGGGAAAATGTAATTTAATGCAGAGCTTCTTGTACAATCTGAGACCCACTTTATATCGGATATCACTCAGCCAGTGGAGATAGCTAATTTTTAAAGAAAACAGTCCTTAAACGCGCCGGTTTTTGCATTGGCATTCAGTTCGCCTGAAGCGCTTAACCCAGGTTACTGGCAAATTAAAAGTCCTATTAGCATGCTTCAGCGTATACCCTATAGTTGCCAGGAAAAACTGAATAACAGTCTGCAAACACCAGTGTTGCCAGACGTACGATAACTATCGTATTTGTACGATAATTTCGCCCTCTGTACGATGTACGATCAATAATGAGAAAAATCCTATAATGTACGATAATTTCAGAATTTTATGGCATTTAAAAGAAACTTCATTGTAATCTTCGGCTTCTTTACTTATTGATCCAGCTGCATCTTTTCTGTACTGTGAGGAGTAGGTGAAGTTAGGCACGTTTTCTATCTCATCTTACGTTGCCTCTTCTCAGCCAATCAACGTGGAGAATGGCTCTCTCTCACGAGTTAACGCTCCTGCTGTGCGTGCCCGTGGTTAGGTCAGTAGTTTTCAGTTCGAGGTCGATCTTTTAAGCAATAATGTTAAAACAATTCATGCTGTAAAGGAAGGTGAGAAGGACGGGAGTTTTCCCTTGATGTTCTTGTTTTTCCCCATTCAAATGCGTCTTGTGAACATGTTTTTTTACAAAGTTAGTCTCATCAAAACAAAGCATGCACACCTCAGAAAATAAATCCCTCAACATGTGGCAACATTCAATGACAGCAACTCAGAGGTGGAGTTTGAACCTTCCCATTAAGGTACCTAGTTTTTTTAACGTATTGTGGTCATTTGCACGTTGTGTCAAAACGCTGTGTCTAGATAATAGCTGTATACTCTCAGTTTGGCTCGTGTACGATAATTTTCCTCCAAAATACGATAATTTTGAGGTTCTGGTATGATACTTTGACATTTCCAATCTGGCAACACTGGCAAACACAGACTAGGTTGAGTTTTTTAGCTTCGTTGTTACTGACGTTAAAGTCTGTCTTCATCAAAACCTCAAGATTTGAGAGTGTTTCTCACAGAAGCAGCAGACATCAAATCAGATACAGATTACAGCACTGATGCTAAAAACATTTTGATTATGTTCAATAATATTTCTATAGTGTTTGATACGCTATTTCTTGTGCTGCAAGCTTTGATATTAAATAAGTGTTCAGACATCATTAGAGGTTTCTTTATTATTCATATTTGGGTAATCTGTGTAATGAGAAACTGAAGAATAACTCTGAATGCTTTCTTCTCTCTAATCTGTTTCATTAGACGTTGGCTTGAAATCTGGTCTGCATTAATATGAAGCCTGTGATCAAAAATGAAGAGTCTCTTCAGGGAGATCCAGAGTCCAAATCCACTAATAATGATGTAGAAACTTTGGTTCTGAGTAAAACAGAAGGATCGGCTGCTCTCTTTTGCAGACGGCTGAAATATCGAGTAAAAACTGATCAAACATCAGATCAAAGTTCATCAGATACTGACACAGAAGATGAGCTTCCCATCTCCACATCTCCAACCCCTGGTGAAGACTTAATCTGTAAGCTGTGTGGCTCTGAGTTTGGTAGTAACATAAGTATGGTGCGTCACATGCGAATACACACAGGAGAGACGCCGTACATCTGTGAAGTCTGTGGGAAAGGGTTCAAACGTCAAGGTTGGCTTAAAGAACACTTTCGTGTCCATACTGGCAACAAACGCAAGCGGGAAAAGAGATTGAGCTGTGATCAGTGTGAGATGAAGTTTAATAGCTCCACTGCTCTCCGAAGCCATTTAAATAAGCACAGAGGCGAGAGGCCGTTCGCCTGCGTTCAGTGTGACAAAACCTACTTCAATCAACATGATCTTAATCAACACCTCAGAGACTGTCATTCAGATAAAAAGCACGGCTGCTATTTGTGTGGAAATGAATTCACACGCCAGTCTTCACTGCAGAAACACATGCGGATCCACACAGGAGAGAGACCGTACTCCTGTCCACACTGTGGGAAGACTTTCTCCTATAAACACAGCATGAAAATGCATGTTAAAGGTGCTGTATGTAGGAGTGACAGCTGAGATATTGTAGTACAAATATAAAATATTGGAGTTTTGTTTTTTTCACTTGATCCCTCCTGATGACTCCACGGAAGTCGCCAGATTGACAACAGTCGAGTCTGTTTGTATTTTGTAGATTATTTGTTAATTAAAAACCACCTTGTGGGTTTAACTCTGAATCTGCATCTCATTGCTGTCCTGCATTTTTAACTGCACCCGCATACTATGAAGCAGCCTTCATGACTGAAATGAAATACGCTGTTTTCCAGCAAAGCGACATGTGAAAATAAATAATAAAAATAGGAAACACCCAAGACCCTTTTAAAGACTGGTAACATTTTTATGGTGCCAGCACATGTCGGTGTTGAGGGAAATGAAGTAGATATTCCAGCAAAGAAAGCAGTAAAACATCAGCAAACAGAAATGAATGCAGCAATCAGAACTTAAAAGAATAAGTTTGATGGAAGGAAGAAATGGCAAACATCATGTATCAACGGGTCTAAAGGAAGACATCTGTTTCAGATTTAACAGTGTGTTGGAAACGAGAGGAAAAGATATGGAGGTTGGAAGAAAGATATCAAGATTAAGAATAGCTCATACAACACTGAACTACACTGCACAAAATAGTGAAGCATGAAACTGGGAAATGAGACAAATGTAGACAGTAAAACTGCAAACTATATGATTTTAAATAGTCAAGCATATAAAAGAGAGATTTCAGTTAATTAATGAATTAGGACTGCTGGGTTTGAACAGTTCTCTTTAACCACTTAAACTCTGCTGTTATTTTGGGATTTCCGCCTGGATTTTGCCTACCCAAATTTAAAAGCTTCCCAAATCCACATGCAGAGGTGTAAATGCAAAAATTTGGTATCATTTTAAAGAAAACCCTTTGAATTTTCATAAAACACTTGTTTAAAATATCTGTATATGTCGTCTGTGTTATAATAAACACCTAAAAAAAGAGGCGCTTTTTGTAATTTTTTTTTTATAAACTCAAATTTGAAAGTGTACCTTTTATGTTCTGTGTGGTCTAGCGTGCTGTAATTAATTTTGGTGGTTCCAGCACATGTCTGTAATCATAGGGAAAAAGAAAAATGTCTCTACCATAATCTTTGCAAAAGTTATTGTATTCCAACTGATGAGAGGTGCTATACAAGCCACAGAGACTGATCCTTGTTTACATTTTTCACTATTCTTTTGTTTGATCAAACATAATTCATTGTGTTTGGACCACATCAGACATATAAAAGGATTACTTATGCACATCACCTCACAAACAGAGGAGAATAGCCCTGAAGCGCACAGTATAAGGTAAGAGATGACAGCTGTCTGTGCTATCTGGGGCTGCTTATTGATCATAAATGTATTGTTTACATTTCTGCGCCATGGAAACACCACAATTAATCCAACAAGTTTTTGGCATATGAATATAATTCGATAAAAAGAATGCTAGAACTGTATGAGCACCGGCAAGAGCTTTCATTTACGCTATATCTTGTACATGTGTCATATAAAAAATATGAAAATGAACCAATGTTCAATACCCAGCCTGGGTATCCAAAATACTGTGTATTTAAGTGTAAATAACTTTTATTCAGTAGAATAAAAACCAAAGTGATGCATATGTGCATAAAATATAGATTCTACACTTTCAAACGACACCACTTACGGGGGTCTGGTGCAACACTAGCCCTTTAAATCTGAAAGTGAAAGTCGATGACGTCACGGACCCGGTACCGGGTTTAAGTGGTTAAAAGTGTTGTTAGGAAATGGTTTAGTGCAATGTAAAGTGCAAAACTTACTTGAAATACACATGATTTATGGGCAGAATCCAGTTTTTATTTCATATACATGCATGTATAAATTTATGTTAATTTTCTTCCAAAACGATGCATACTCCACACTCCAAATCACTAGGTGGTGGAAGTGCATCTTTTCTTAGTCTGTCAAAACTGCAATAAAACACCAGAAGAAGAGGAAGACCCTTTAAAGGGCCATGACACCCCCCACTTTCGGTAAAAGTCTACTTCAGAATTTTTTCAAAAGATGCATGATTAATGGGCGTGGAGCTCCGCGAGCATCGGGCAGGAGTGGGCGTAGCCAGCAGGGGAGAACATGAGTGAACCAACTGTTGTTGTCAGTTAGCTCACAAAATGAGACACAAACCGTGAGGAGACGCATGAGTTTATAGTTTACAAAGTTTAAATGCAAAGAAATGAACAGTGATTTAATGCCCTGCTGCATTTGTTATTCTCCCTCAATCCCCGTATACAGCAGACTCAGTGCAGCAGGTCTCCTGAGCTGTCTATTTTAACCATTAGCCCTGCTGGTAATCTGGAGGATTTAGGCAAACACAGCAGCACGGCGATGTGTCTGAATGTGAACGAACTCCTGATAAAAGACAGCGTCCGCCATTCTCTAATTCTCGTGCTGCTCTCCCGACAAAAATGCTAGCAGCACACACAGCTTTGCTGTATGATCGGCCCTGACAAGATCGCGGGGGAAAACATGCAACAAACCCCGTGGATGATGGAAACAAATGCATATGAGCCTTCATGAATGGCTAAATACTGTGCCGTGGTTTTCGTGTCTCTCAGCTCGGGCTTGACACTGGCAGGTCTGGCAGGTCTCATGAATAATTAAGCAGCCGGCTCTTCTCATAGGATAAGAAAACTCCGCTATGAATAATAATGAGAAACCGACGCGTCATCATTGCACTTGCAGTACTGTGCTACGTCGCAGATTTTGATCCCGCCCTAAAAATCATTTTTAACCCGGAAGCTGAAATTAGCTGACAAAAGCTCAAAATTATCCAGTTTTCCCCACAATTAAAGCTGACAGGTGCTAACATTGTCTTAACTGATGCTCAACACACACACATCTGTTAATATATAAAAAAAAAAAGTTCTCCAGGGTGTCCTGAACCTTTAAAAAGTCCTGAGGGGGCAAAAAAGCGCCTTCTAGCTTGAGAAGAGTATAAACCATAGGTCTCAAACTCAATTCCTAGAATAGGTCATACAACACTGAACTACAATCTGCACAAAATAGAGAAGCATTAAACTAGGAAATGTGACAAGTGTGGACATTTAGAAACTGCTAACTCTATTTTAGTTTGTCAAAAAGGGAGAGATTTCAATTAATTCATGAATTAGGTCTCCTGGTTTGAACATTTCTCTTTAAAAGTGTTGTTGAAATGGTTCAGTGTAATGTAAAGTGCAAAAAGACAGGATTACTTGAAAGACACTAGATTTAAGGACAGAATACAGTTTTTTTATTATTATTTTTTACATAAATATTTTAGTTTTCTTTAAAACTATCCACACTCTAAATCAGTTGGTGGCGAAAATGCAGCTTCTCCTTGGTCTGCCAAAACTGCAAAAAAGCACTGGAAGACCCTCTTAAAGACCTGCGGATGGCAGCAAAGCGCCTTTATGAGTCAAGTCTGCCCAAATATCAGAAGAAGAAGAAGATCGTACAAAACAGGACATGGCATGTAAATCTTTTATTGTTCATTGTTAATTCTGTGGATCAGGACGTTTCTGAATGTGTGTATAAGTAGCTACACAAATATTGCAAGTTTTCTCCGTGTCTCTCAGCAAAATCTTAACAAGTTTTGAGTTAATGGAGAACTAAGTTAACCTTTGAGAGCTTTGTAACAAACTAATGATTTTGAGTTTTGAGAGAAAGTGCATAAGACTTCCAAAGGAGGCGATTTATATACAGTGTATATATATATATATATATATATATATATATATGAGCAATTCCAGCATAATATACGAGACATTTGCTGTAAAAACTCAAAACATAAATTCACATGGAAAGTATATGTTAACATTATATTGAAACTTTTGTTTTTATTTTCTAGAGCAACTGAGCACAGAGTTATAGAAGCAAGAAAAATATCAATCTGTAAACATGTTTTTATATTTTAAATGTGGAAAGTAAGCATGTGTTATGGATGTGACAAAAAGTCTGTCGGTTTACAGTGTACAAAACACTTTGAAGAAATTCTGTGAATTAAACTGCACAACCCAAAAGAAACAATGCTAATCAAAAAGACAAGAGTTGGGTCTCTATAAAACAAAAATGGTTTTATTTTATTTAATATTTTCACATTTATGAGGAAAAAGTGTTGTTATGAATGTGACATCTCTCCGTTATGGATGTGAAAGATGTGAAATTGCCACTTGTGTAACTTTATAAATCAAATATAATAGTTTGAAAACATTGACAGAGACATTTTTGAGTATTTCTAAAGTACTGTACTTGCTTTCACAAAATCCCCAGAAACAGTTTCTGTAGTTTGGTGAAGACTTAATTTTAATTGTAGGGTGTTGTTGGGGCTCCAGGTGGGCCTTCAAGCTCCAAGTGGGCTGTACAAACCTGGAGTTTTTATTTATTTATTTAGTTTTGTACATGACACAGAGTCCAATATTGTGTGTTATGAATGTCTAAGCCTAAACCCAACCTCACAGTAACCTGCTGTGTTTTATTAACGTCTACACCTAAACCCAACCTCACAGTAACCTGCTGTGTTTTATTAACGTCTACACCTAAACCCAACCTCACAGTAACCTGATGTGTTTTATTAGTAACTGCTCCACCTCCACCACCTAAACCCAACCTACTTGTGGTCTAAGTCCCTCCCACTTGGAGGTCTCCAGGCTGCAGCAATACCTACTTGTCCAGCTTTGGCCTGAGAACTGATGCTCTGAGGTGGATGGGTCACTTCCCAGTTATTTTTTAATTATTTATTTTATTCCCCAAGCTACCCAGACAACACAGATCAATCATTTAAGTGCATAAGAAGTACAGTAGGTGGTGGTAATACTTTATTAACGCTACTGGATATTATGTTAGTTGCTGGATTTTTCAGTAGTAGGATCCTAAGGAGTGAACGGCCAGTAAACAAAGAAGAGGAAAAGTGCCTTTACGGGTTTAGTCTGCTGCAAATATCAGAAGCTGATGAATGAATGGAGGAGGAATTCTTGTTGATCGACATGTAAGTCTTTTATTGTTCAGAGTTAAAACTGTGGATCAGGAGGTTTCTGAATGTGTGTATAAGTATACAAAAATCCTGTGTTTTCTTCGTGTCTCTCAGCAAAAGCTGAGTAAACAGAGAACAACCAAGTGAACTTTTCTGAGCTTTGTAACAAACTAATGATTTTTAGGAGAAGGTGCATTAGACTTCTGAAGGAGGCGATTTATCAAAAATAAATGTTATGGAGGCAATGTTTTTGAATAGTTCCATATTACCTCTATCCTATCTCATATAAACCTCTAGTGGTTAAATATGGTAGGTGACAATTAAAAGTCTGTGTTATAGTTGCTAAAATGATAGAATATTGAAAATATGTGTTTTTGAGACCTTTAAAACATCCATGATGGACAAAAAAAATTACATGCAAATAATTGAAGTTATAAGATTGTACTAAACTTGTAAAAGTGTGTAAATGAAGCACATTTACTGCATTTTTAAGCCATTTTAGCATGTTTTTAGGACCATTTCTACTATTGTAGCGCCACCTATAGCCCGATCTCCACAAAATTTAGCATGTTTCTTCACATTGACATGCCACATGTGCTCATCAATTTCTGTGATGCTTTGGGTTTTCCTTATAGGATCCTAAGGAGTGAACGGCCAGTAAACAAAGAAGAGGAAAAGTGCCTTTACGGGTTTAGTCTGCTGCAAATATCAGAAGATGATGAATGAATGGAGGAGGAATTCTTGTTGATCGACATGTAAGTCTTTTATTGTTCAGAGTTAAAACTGTGGATCAGGAGGTTTCTGAATGTGTGTATAAGTATACAAAAATCTCGTGTTTTCTTCGTGTCTCTCAGCAAAAGCTGAGTTAACAGAGAACAACCAAGTGAACTTTTCTGAGCTTTGTAACAAGCTAATGATTTTTAGGAGAAGGTGCATTAGACTTCCGAAGGAGGCGATTTATCAAAAAATAAATGTTATGGAGACAATGTTTTTGAATAGTTCCATATTACCTCTATCCTATCTCATATAAACCTCTAGTGGTTAAATATGGTAGGTGACAATTAAAAGTCTGTTATAGTGGCTAAAAAGATAGAATATTGAAAATATGTGTTTTTGAGACCTTTAAAACATCCATGATGGACAAAAAAAATTACATGTAAATAATTAAAGTTATAAGATTTTACTAAACTTGTAAAAGTGTGTAAATGAAGCACATTTACTGCATTTTTAAGCCATTTTAGCATGTTTTTAGGACCATTTCTACTATTGTAGCGCCACCTATAGTGCGATCTCCACAAAATTTTGCATGTTTCTTCACATTGACATGCCACATGTGCTCACCAATTTCTGTGATGCTTTGGGTTTTCCTTATAGGATCCTAAGGGGTGAACGGCCAGTAAACAAAGAAGAGGAAAAGTGCCTTTACGGGTTTAGTCTGCTGCAAATATCAGAGATGATGAATGAATGGAGGAGGAATTCTTGTTGATCGACATGTAAGTCTTTTATTGTTCAGAGTTAAATCTGTGGATCAGGAGGTTTCTGAATGTGTGTATAAGTATACAAAAATCCTGTGTTTTCTTCGTGTCTCAGCAAAAGCTGAGTAAACAGAGAACAACCAAGTGAACTTTTCTGAGCTTTGTAACAAACTGATGATGTTTAGGAGAAGGTGCATTAGACTTCTGAAGTAGGCGATTTATCAAAAATAAATGTTATGGAGGCAATGTTTTTGAATAGTCTAAATAGGACTCGTTCCATATTATGACTTCTTTTTAGTCTTATCTATGGCTTTTTATTTCAATTTGACATGTGTAATGAGAAACTCTGAATGTTTACTTCTCTTTTTAATCTGTTTCATTAGATTTCAAACCAGACTGCATCGATATGAAGCCTGTGATCAATAATGAAGAGTCTTTTCAGGGAGCTCCAAAATCTGAATCCATTAATGATGATGTGGAAACTTTGGTTCTGAGTAAAACAGAAGGATCGGCTGCTCTCTTTTGCAGACGGCTGAAATATCGAGTAAAAACTGATGAAACATCAGATCAAAGTTCATCAGATACTGACACAGAAGATGAGCTTCCCATCTCCACATCTCCAACCCCTGGTAAAAAGTTTGTCTGTAAGCTGTGTGGCTCAGAGTTTGGTAGTAACATAAGTATGGTGCGTCACATGCGAATACACACAGGAGAGACGCCGTATGTCTGTGAAGTCTGTGGGAAAGCGTTCAGACGCAAAGACTGGCTTAAACTGCACAGTAGCGTTCATACTGGTATCAAACGCAAACGCAAGCGTGAGAAGAAATTCAGCTGTGATCAGTGTGAGAAGAAGTTTGATGGTCCTACTGATCTTCAGTACCATTTAAATAAGCACAGAGGCGAGAGGCCGTTCGCCTGCATTCAGTGCAATAAAACCTACTTCAGTAGGTCTGATCTTTGTCGACACCTCAAGGACTGTCATTCAGATAAAAAGTACAGCTGCTCTTTGTGTGGACATGAATTCACACGCCACTTTTCGTTGCAGAAACACATGCGGATCCACACAGGAGAGAGACCTTACTCCTGTCCACACTGTGAGAAGACTTTCTCCTATAAATACAGCTTTGACATGCATGTTAAAAGTGCTGTATGTAGGAGAGATAAATGAGATATTGTAGTACAAATGAAAAATATGGAAAAAATATTCACTTTGTCTCTCCTATTATGACTCCATGTAAGTTGCCAGATTGATGACAATCTAGTTTTACACTGTGAACTGCTCAGCTACTTGCTGTGTTTGTAATATTTATATTGTTTGCTAATTAAAACCACCTTGTGGATTTTTACAACTCTGAATCTGCATCTCATTACTGTCCTGTGGAGGTCACATTTTCAGCTGCACCAGCATACTATGAAGCAGCCTTCATGACCAGAATGAAATGCGCTGTTTTCCACCAAAGCGACAATAAAACTGGCAAATAAATAAATAAAAAGAGGAAACATCCAGAGGAAACAACAGCTAGCACATGTAGGAATTGAGGGAAATGAAGAAATAGATATTCTAGCAAAGAAGGCAGTAAAACATCAGCAAATAAAATTAATGTAGCAATCAGAACTCAAACGATTAATTTCAATGGAAGTACCTAAATACTAATTAAATACCTAAATATTTTTGGCTGCACCCACATACGTTAAAGCAGGCTTCATGACTGAAATTACATGTGCTGTTTTCCACCAAAGCAACATTGGGTGAAATATAGTAGTAGTAGTAGTAGTAATAAAACTTTATTGTCCTTGACAGGAGATTTGTTATGGGCATCGCCATATTGCTGCAGACACTCACTAAAACAAGCAATAAAAAATAACAGAAAATACAACAATTACAAAATTTATAGTGCTAATTAAGATATAGGGCGAGGAGAAGGTCGCTGGTTCGAACCTCGGCTCAATTGGCATTTCTGTGTGGAGTTTGCATGTTCTCCCTGCCTTCGTGGGTTTCCTCCGGGTGCCCCGGTTTCCCCCACAGTCCAAAGACATGCGGTACTGGTGATTTGGGTAGGCTAAATTGTCCGTTGTGTATGAGTGTGTGTGTGTGAATGTGTGTGTATGTTTCCCAGAGATGGGTTGCAGCTGGAAGGGCATCCGCTGCGTAAAAACTTGCTGGATAAGTTGGCGGTTCATTTCGCTGTGGCGACCCCGGATTGATGGGGGGACTAAGCCGACAAGAAAATGAATGAATGAATAATTAAGATATACTCTTATTAAATAAACCCACTGACACAGATACAAAGGATTTCTTATAGCGGTTTAACCTAAACTTTGGGACTCTATATCTTCTACTAGAGGGAAGCAGTTCGTAATGTGGAAACAAAAAATGAGTTGGATCATTTACAATCCTTTCCACCTGATAGAGGACACAGTTCTCATATAAAACTTGAGGATTAAAATATTCGTCGTGCCCGACAATTTTCCATGCTGTCTTTAAGAGATGCATCAGTTTAGATTTACACTGATAGGTTGCCAAACCACACTGTAATACCATACCTGACAATGCTTGATGCTTATTTCCCAAAAGGGCTGACTTATGAGAGAAAAGAGAAGTCAACAGGGTCTTGTCTCTGCATTGTTTGAGGTGACTACATCTCGACCAAATGGTAACAATTGTAGAATGGGGATGGGTGTGGTACACAGAGAACAATCTCATCAATAGTGTTGAAACTGCATTAACATGATAGAGAGAACAGCTGGGTCAACAGCCAAGGAGCAACTTCATTAACATCTAAATGCAACATCAAAAACAGTATAAAGGTTTGAGTTTAAGAATGTTCAGGGTTCATGGTGAACCCAAGCTACTGCCATGTATTTTGAGACTGCTATGCTGAATAAACATCTTCATTGAGATTTTCTTCGTCATCATTTTCTCTTACACTTTCAAGAACTGCTTTATAAAACAACATCATGAGCTTCTTGTTAACTCCAAAAAGACGCAACCTCCGTAAAAAATACAATCTCTGGTGTAAACGAAAACAAACCCACTCAATGTGTGTTTTCCATATAATTGGGTAAACTGGCAGATTTAGAGACCAAAACAAAGACACGCATATCTAAAGGAGAATAACTGACTGTGGCAGTGTATTTCAGACAAACTGTAAGACGTGAAATACTTAGTGACTTAGTACCTAGTACACTAAGTTAATATTACTTGGATATATCCATCTGGATTTACTATTGTATTTTAAGCACAATAGATTAAAAATAAATATTAAGTAGCTTATTGAATTAAACATGACATTTTGAAGTAAAAAAGACAAAATATGATTCATTTGTAAAATGTATTTGGATTATGCTATCTTTATTTACAAGCCCCAAAAATCTTTTTTACAGTTTAAGGAAGAAATGCCCAACATTCCAGAGCAACGAGTCTTAATGAAAACATCTATTTCATATTTAATGTGCTGGAAATGAGAGGAAAAGATATCATCAAGATTAAGAATAGCTCATACAACACTGAAGTACAATCTGCACAAATTAGTGAAGCCTGAGACTGGGATCCAAGTGTGTGGACATTCAGAAACTGCTAACTATATTTTAGTTTGTCAAGGGTATAAAAAGGGAGAGATTTCAATTAATTCATGAATTAGGTCTCCTGGTTTGAACATTTCTCTTTAGGAAATGGTTCAGTGCAATTTAAAGTGCAAAACTTATTTAATTACTTAAAAGAGAAGATTTATAGACAGAATCCAGTTTTTTAATTAATGATTTTTTTACATGAATATTTTAGTTTTCTTTCAAAACTGTCAACATTGGTCTGCCAAAACTGCAATAAAGCACTAGAAGACCCTCTTAAAGACCTGCGGATGGCAGCAAAGCGCCTTTATAAGACAAGTCTGCCCAAATATCAGAAGAAGAAGAAGATGCTCGTACAAAACAGGACAATCATGACCCAACGATGTTGGCAAAATAAATAACTCTTGATTGATTAATAGGCATGTAAGTCTTTTATTGTTCAGTGTTAATTCTGTGGATCAGGAGGTTTCTGAATGTGTGTATAAGTAGCTACACAAGTATTGTATATTTTCTCTGTGTCTCTTAGAAATCTTAACAAGTGTGGAGTTAATGGAGGAAGTTAACTTTGAGCTTTGTAACAAACTAATGATTTATATATATATATATATATATATATATATATATATATATATATATATATATATATATATATATATATATATATATATATATATATATATATATATATATATATATATATATATATATATATATATATATATATATATATATATATATATATATATATATATATATATATATATATATATATATATATATATATGAGCAATTCCAGCATAATATACGAGACATTTGCAGTAAAAACTATAAATAAAATAAATTCACATGGAAAGTTTATGTTAACATTATATTGAAACTTTTGTTTATGTTTTCCAGAACAACTGAGCACAGAGTTATAGAAGCAAGAAAATATCAATCTGTAAACATGTTTTATATTTTAAATGTGGAAAATAAACATGCGTTATGGATGTGACAAAAAGTCTGTGGGTTTACAGTGTACAAAACACTTTGTAGAAATTCTGTGAATTAAACTGCACAGCGCAAAAGAAACAATGCTAATCAGAAAGACAAGAGTTGGGTCTCTATAAAAAAAAAAGATTGGTTTTATTTTATTTAATATTTTCACATTTATGTAAAAAGTGTTGTTATGAATGTGACGTCTCTCCGTTATGGATGTGACAGATGTGAAATTGCCACTTGTGTGACTTTGGTAAATCAAATATATCAGTTTGAAAACAATGACAAAGACATTTTTGAGTATTTCTAAAGTACTGTAAAATACTTGCTTACCCAAAAAACCCAGAAACGGCTTCTGTACTTTGGTGAAAACTTAATTTTTTTCATGGCAAGGTTGACATTTGCATATATATATATATATATATATATATATATATATATATATATATATATATATATATATATATATATATATATATATATATATATATATATATATATATATATATATATATATATATATATATATATATACACGTATATGGTTTATTCTGCTGTGGCGACCCCGGATTAATAAAGGGACTAAGCCGACAAGAAAATGAATGAATGATATATATATATAAATATAAATATATATATATATATATATATAAGGCAATGTTTTTGAACAGTTGGATTACATAATTTGTTCTATTAAGAGTTTTTTTTGGTGTTATCTATGGCGTTTTATACAATTTGGCATGTGTAATGAGAAACACAGCTGAAGAATAACTCTGAATGTTTACTTCTCTCTTCAATCTGTTTCACTAGATGTTTGCTTGAAGTCCGGACTGCATCAATATGAAGCCTGTGATCAAAAATGAAGAGTCTCTTCAGGGAGATCCAGAGTCCAAATCCACTAATAATGATGTGGAAACTTTGGTTCTGAGTAAAACAGAAGGATCGGCTGCTCTCTTTTGCAGACGGCTGAAATATCGAGTAAAAACTGATGAAACATCAGATCAAAGTTCATCAGATACTGACACAGAAGATGAGCTTCCCATCTCCACATCTCCAACTCCTGGTGAAGACTTCATCATGCGAATACACACAGGAGAAGCGCCCTATGTCTGTGAACTCTGTGGTAAAGCGTTCAAACGTAAACACTGGCTTAAAGAACACTTTTACATCCATACTGGTGTCAAACGCAAGCGCAAGAAGAGATTGAGCTGTGATCAGTGTGAAATGAAGTTTGAGTGCTCCTCTGTTCTTCAAGGTCATTTAAATAAGCACAGAGGCGAGAGGCCGTTCGCCTGCGTTCAGTGCGACAAAACCTACTTCAATCAACATGATCTTAATCAACACCTCAGAGACTGTCATTCAGAAAAAAAGCACGGCTGCTATTTGTGTGGAAATGAATTTTCTCGCCGCTCTTTACTGCAGAAACACATGCGGATCCACACAGGAGAGAGACCTTACTCCTGTCCACACTGTGAGAAGACTTTCCCCTATAAATACAGCTTTGAAATGCATGTTAAAGGTGCTGTATGTAGGAGAGATAAATGAGATATTGTAGTACAAATGAAAAATACGGAAAAATATTCACTTTGTCTCTCCTATGATGACTCCATGCAAGTTGCCAGATTGACGACAATCTAGTTTTACACTGTGAACTGCTCAGCTACTTGCTGTGTTTGTAATATTTATATTGTTTGTTAATTAAAAACCACCTTGTGGATTTTTACAACTCTGAATCTGCATCTCATTACTGTCCTGTGGAGGTCACATTTTCAGCTGCACCAGCATACTATGAAGCAGTCTTCATGACTGAAATTAAATGCACTGGTTTCCACCAAAGCAACATGGGGTGCAAAATAACTGGAAAAATTAATGACAAAAAGAGGAAACACCCAAGACCCTTTCAAAGACTGGTAACATTTTTATGGTGCCAGCACATGTAGGTGTTGAGGGAAATGAAGTAGATATTCCTGCAAAGAAAGCAGTAAAACATGAGCAAATAGAAATGAATGCAGCAATCAGAACTCAAAAGATTAAGTTTAATGGAAGAAAGAAATGGCAAACATCATGGATCAACGGCTCTAAAGGAAGACATCTGTTTCAGATTTAACAGTGTGTTGGAAACGAGAGGAAAAGATATGGAGGTTGGAAGAAAGATATCAAGATTAAGAATAGCTCATACAACACTGAACTACACTGCACAAAATAGTGAAGCGTGAAACTGGGATACAAATGTGTGGACATTCAGAAACTGCTAACTATTTTAGTTTGTCAAGCATATAAAAGGAGGAGATTTCAATTCATGAATTAGGTCTCCTGGTTTAAACATTTCTCTTTAAAAGTGTTGTTGAAATGGTTCAGTGCAATGTAAAGTGCAAAACTTATTTAATTACTTGAAAGACAGGATTTATTGACAGAATCTAGTTTTCAATTAATGTTTTTTTACGTAAATGTTTTAGTTTTCTTTAAAACTATCCACACTCTAAATCAGTTGGTGGCAAAAATGCAGCTTCTCCTTGGTCTGCCAAGACTGCAATAAAGCACTGGAAGACCCTCTTAAAGACCTGCGGATGGCAGCAAAGCGCCTTTATGAGTCAAGTCTGCCCAAATATCAGAAGAAGAAGAAGATGATCGCACAAAAGAGGATAATCATGACCCAACGATGTTGGCAAAATAAATGATTATTCTTGATTGATTGATTGATTGGCATGTAAGTCTTTTATTGTTCAGTGTTAAACCTGTGGATCAGGACGTTTCTGAATGTGTGTATAAGTAGCTACAAAAATATTGCAAGTTTCGTCCGTGTCTCTCAGCAAAATCTTAACAAGTGTGTTGAGTTAAAGGAGAACTAAGTTAACTTTTCAGAGCTTTGTAACAAACTAATGATTTTAGGAGAAATACATATATATATATATATATATATATATATGTATATGTGTGTGTACGGAACCCCGGAAGGGACGTAGTGGAGGAGAAAAAAAATGGGTGGGTGAAAAAAAAATAATGGGTGAAAGAAAAAAAATGGGTGGGAGGAAAATATATATTTCTAAGTTTTTTGCGTTCTCTCGCAAAGTTTTGCGTTCCCTCGCAAAGATGTTTTGCGTTCTCTCGCAAAACTGTTTCTCCACAAACACTTCCTGTTCACTGCACTCACGTAAACCCTCCCGTTTTTGCCGAAATTCTCCCGTATTTTACCATTCTATCCCACTTTCTTCACATTACTGTGCGTATGCTACCTATGAACCAGTGAATGCATGTATAAGCGCTGACTGACAGACGCGCTTCGTACAATAAACTGATCCCAGATCAGCGTCTGTACACGCCATTTACAGAGGAGCGGGTGTATGTTTAAACAGACAAATACACTGAATAATATGAACTATCTCCGTCCTGCATGTTTTATTTTAAACAGCTTATTTTCTCTTAAATGAGCACAAACAGTTTCTAAAGTAATGGACTGCTTTCATTATAGATCTGTGCATTTTTACAGAGACACCTCTGTTATCAAACTAAACAAAACATGAGATTCATTTGCTGCGCACTTGTTTGATAACAGAAGTGTCCCTTTAAATGGCGTGTACAGACGCTGATCTGGGATCAGTTTATTGTATGGAGCGCGTCTGTCAGTCAGCGCTTAAACATGCATTCACTGGTTCAGAGGTTGCAAAGTGAAAGGCGACAATCATCGCACAGTAATGTAAAGAAAGTGGGATAGAATGGTAAAATACGGGAGAATTTCAGCAAAAACGGGAGGGTTTATGTGAGTGCAGTGAACAGGAAGTGTTTGTGGAAAAACAGTTTTGCGAGAGAACGCAAAACATCTTTGCGAGAGAACGCAAAAAACTTAGAAATATATATTTTCCTCCCACCCATTTTTTTTCTTTCACCCATTATTTTTTTTTTACCCACCCATTTTTTTTCTCCTCCACTACGTCCCTTCCGGGGTTCCGTATTAGTGTGTGTGTGTGTGTGTGTGTGTGTGTGTGTGTGTGTGTGTGTGTGTGTGTGTGTGTGTGTGTGTGTGTGTGTGTGTGTGTGTGTGTGTGTGTGTGTGTGAGCAATTCCAGCATTATGGACGAGACATTTGCAGTAAAACTCAAACCATAAATTCACATGGAAAGTTTATGTTAACATTATATTGAAACTTTTGTTTATGTTTTCCAGAACAACTGAGCACAGAGTTATAGGAGCAAGAAAATATCAATCTGTAAACATGTTTTAGATTTTAAATGTGGAAAATGAACATCCGTTATGGATGTGACAAAAAGTCTGTGGGTTTACAGTGTACAAAACACTTTGTAGAAATTCTGTGAATTAAACTGCACAACCCAAAAGAAACAATGCTAATCAGAAAGACAAGAGTTGGGTCTCTATAAAACAAAAGTTATTGGTTTTATTTAATTTAATATTTTCACATTTATGAGGGATTTATTTCGTTATGGATGTGACAGATGTGAAATTGTCACTTGTGTAACTTTGTAAATCAAATATAATAGTTTAAAAACATTGACAGAGACATTTTTGAGTATTTCTAAAGTACTGTAAAATACTTGCTTACCCAAAAAACCCAGAAACAATTTCTGTATTTTGGTGAAAACTTAATTTTTTTCTTGGCAGGGTTGACATTTGCACGGAATTGCTCATATGTATATATAAATGTGTGTGTGTTTTAATAGAGGAGGTCCGCATTTAAAAAAAACACCTTATAACCTACACACACACAATCACACACACACACATATATATATATGTGTATATATATATATATATATATATATATATATATATATATATATATATATATATATATATATATATATATATAAAGGCAATGTTTTTGAATAGTCGGATAACATAATTTGTTCTTTTATGAGTTTTTAGTTTTTTGGTCTTATCTGTGACATTTTATTCAATTTGGCATGTGTAATGAGAAACACAGCTGAAGAATAACTCTGAATGTTTATGTCTTTATTCAGTCTGTTTCACTAGATGTTTGCTTGAAGTCCGGACTGCATCGATATGAAGCCTGTGATCAACAATGAAGAGTCACTTCAGGGAGATCCAGAGTCCAAATCCACTAATAATGATGTGGAAACTTTGGTTCTGAGTAAAACAGAAGGATCGGCTGCTCTCTTTTGCAGACGGCTGAAATATCGAGTAAAAACTGATGAAACATCAGATCAAAGTTCATCAGATACTGACACAGAAGATGAGCTTCCCATCTCCACATCTCCAACCCCTGGTAAAAAGTTTGTCTGTAAGCTGTGTGGTTTTGAGTTTACTTATCATTCAAATATGGTGCGCCACATGCGAATACACACAGGAGAGACGCCATACGTCTGTGAAATCTGTGGGAAAGGGTTCCAACGTCAAGACTGGCTTAAAGAACACTTTCGGGTCCATACTGGTGTCAAACGCAAACGCAAGAAGACATTCGGCTGTGATCAGTGTGAGAAGAAGTTTCATGGTTCCACAGCTCTCCAAAGCCATTTAAATAAGCACAGAGGCGAGAGGCCGTTCCCCTGCGTTCAGTGTGACAAAAGCTTCTTCAGTCATTCTGATCTGTATCGACACATCAAGCACTGTCATTCGGAAAAACAGCACAGCTGCTCTTTATGTGGAAATGAATTCTCACGCCGCACTTCATTGCTGAAACACATGCGGATTCACACAGGAGAGAGGCCTTACTCCTGTCCACACTGTGGGAAGACTTTCCCCTATAAATACAGCTTTGACATGCATCTTAAACGACACTCAGCCTGAAGATGATGTAATGCACAGAAATCCACACCAAATGTGTTCCTGTTTATTTTGTCATCTCAATAACATCATTAATTTCTAATTGTTCCTTCTGAGTCTTCTTATTTTATTACATGGTTTCATTTTATCATAGTTGTTCAGTGAATCTGATCACATCCTTAACCTAAAGACTTGTTGTTTTTATTATTAATTAACTGAGCATTATGTTTATCATTCTGTACATGAGGATGTTACATTATAAATGTCTTTACTGCCACTTCACTGCAAACCTATGACTGATAATGTATCAGTTTCCATATTATTAATATTTAATATCTGAGAACTGATAATAGTGAATAGTAATTGATCATTAGATCAGCATATTAGAAAGATTTCTTAATAAGACTGCTGCAGTAATGATGCTGAAAACTCAGGTTTGCATCACTTGAATAAATGACATCTTAAAATACAGCAAAACACAAAATACCTTATTTGAATATTTCCGTTTTCAGCAAATAAATGAAGTTATTTGAGTAAATTATAACAATTTTTCCATTTGAGCAACTTTCCATATGAAGTCAATCCCACTGGAAGCTTTTCAATTCAGAAATTATTTTGTCTCCACTTCTAAAGGAAATACGCAAGACACTTAAAGACCTGAGGAGGGCAGCAGAGCGCCTCTATGCGTCTAAAATAGATGTCAGAAGAAGAAGATGGTCGCCCTGAGGAGAAAGTTGTTGATTTGTATGTAAGTGCTTTATTTTTCGGTTTTAAAACAGTTTCAGCAGGTTTCTCATTGAGTCTACAAGCACAAATATACCTTGTTGTACAAGTGTCTTGTAAATACTAAACTGACATTTCTGAGCTTTGCAACGGGTGATTTTAAGAGAAGGTGCAGAAGACTTCAACAGGACGATAAACATTACGAAGTTCATGTTTTTAGATATGTTGGAATGTTTTGGATATATAATCAGTACCATTTAACACATAGTTGGGA